CTCTGACTCTAGTGCCAGACTTCTTCCCATCACTGTGTGTAGCTTCCAAATAACGTCATACATAGGTTTATTAGTGCATCAAAATTTGTTGCAAGAAAATATTTTATTAGTTCTTACAATCAGCATCAGTATGTTAATATAAGAATGTACTGACAATCAATTATTGGAAGTATATAGTTCCAAGATGTATTTAAAACTCTTGCACAAAATATTTTTTCCCTTTTTTTTTTTAAACATTCTTGGTCCAATTTCTATAGGAGACAATTGTATACACAAGTGTTTTAAATAATTTTTAAAATCCTTCATATGGGAACTACTGAGGGTATACTTTTAGAATTTTTTTTTAACACCAAGTAAATCAGCCCATTGAATGAAACAGTTTCCCAAATATTACCAGAACCTCAATAGCAGATAAAGAGGCAGTCTGAAAGATGGGCTGTGTGACCTTGGGCACTCACTTAGATACTCATCAACATTTATAGAGGGAGGGTTGGTTTTTTTTTTGTTGTTGTTTTTTTTTGTTTTTTTAAACAGGAGCTCCCTACATAGATGAAATCACAGGTCCAGACCAAAAACAAAACTGCTTACTTTACAGAATGTATTCCAGCAAAGCCTGGAAATTAATCCTATTCTCTCGATAGACTTCCATTATAGAGATTTGTTCCCATGGAAAAGGTTCCAACATAGACTAAATCAAAAAATTTGGAAAAGAAATTGCTATGTCGGAAGCCCACTGTGTGGGATACTGTGCATCCCAGCCCAGCACCTGCATGAAGGCCTTCCAGGAGGGCCTGGCCCCACTGTGCAAAAGTGCGTGGGCCAATCTGGCAGGAGATTTCTGACTCTAGGATCATCCCTACCTCTCCCCACATCCTAGCAATTTCTCTTGGGACTGACTGATTCCATGTGCAAAGCTGCCAGAACTTGACTCTCTTGGTCCTCTGACCTAGGAATTCACAAAATCTCATTCTATAAGGTTACAATAACATACATCACCAGTAGGTGTCACCTACTGGTGTCATAATATACTGCAGTTGAAAAAATCCTTCAGGTTTTATGACCCAAAGTCTCTATTCACTAGAAGAGTCAGGTTAGATGCCACTAACTTTTTCCCACTTTCTCATCTTGTCTCCTGTCTTTTACTTTTGTCAGGATGGGTATAAGAACTTTCTACATACATACATACACAGGCAACTCATCCGTTACTAAAGTCTCACAGGGAAAGTTACTTGAGGGCACTGAGGTTGGGTCAGAATTAACCAGGATTCACACTCAATAATGCCAAAGCTGGTTCTGTCTGGTATGCCATACAACTGCTTCTCACTAAAATTCTATATTTCACTGTTTACTGGACCCGGGATTTCACTGGTGTAGATAGGGGACTCTCTGTAAGGAAACTCCCTCTATCAATGCAGATCTGCATCTGCTCTGTCTTAGTCAGACACCTGGGATGTGGAGAGGGTAAGTGACTAGACCTGGGAACAAGCTGGTATGTGTCACAGGCAGGACTTGACTCCAAGGTTAGCCCTCTCCTCATGATGCTTTATAACAGTAAGAGCTTATGTGGACGTAGCACTTTATGGTTATAGACTACTTTATGCATATTGCAAAAGGGCCAACCCGTTACTAGACACATATTGGAAGAAGAAATCTCAACTAGGTGGCGCAGTGGATAGATCACAGGCCCTGACATCAGGAAAACCTGAATTCAAACCTGGCCTCAGACATTTACTAGTTGTATGACCCTGGGTAAGTCACTTAACTCCAATGTCTCCTCCAAAAAAAACAAAAACAAAAACAAAAAAACAAAAAAAAACATATACCCAGTGGTAGTTCCACCTCTGCACTACCCCCTGCCACTGACTGCTCATTGCCTTTGGGGGTAGCTCTCCTCCACATTAGGAAGCTAGGCCTGGCATCAAATCTACATTTGCCTTTCTGCAACTGTGACTTCTCCATGGCTCCTAGTTCTGTTTCTGGGGCCAAAGAGAACAAGTCTAACCCCTTGGCCAGATGATACTTTTTATGACCCCCAAATCCTCTCTTCTCCAGACTAAACAACCCTAATTTCTTTGTCAGGTCAACAAGCATTTATTAAGCAGCTAATATGGGCCTTGGCTATGTTAAGCTTTGCTAAGCTTTGACCAATCCCTGGGTGTTCATTCTCTTTCTTGGCTGCCAACTCATACTACTGACTCTGACTGAGCTTGCAGGCCACTAAGACCCCCATAGCTTTTTCAGATTAGCTGCTGTCTGACCAGGCCTCTCCTCCAGCCTGTACTTGTGTTTGAGGCTTTCAGGATCTCTGTACACTTTGTGTCCCCTGCCGTCTATACCTTTACACAGGTCACTGAGGGCCCTCACTAAGGACCTCCTAAGCTGACACCAGATCATTCCTGGAGCTGCCTTGGGGCTGGCTATTTAACTAGTATCAAAGCCATGGCACTTATTTGAGCTAACTGGAAGTTCACCAACCTCGCTCACAGAAGAGGGAGGGATGAACACTTTTGTCTGCCATTTCCAAGGCAAGTGCTTGTTTCCATGTGCCCCAAACACAGTTCACTTTCAGCCACTGCATTTGTTCATCCTCAGTTTAAGACCCCGAAGTTCTATTACTTAACTAATGGGATTGGCACAATTACTCTTGGTAACAACCATCTCACATGATATGCTTTTGACATTAAGCTTGGTGGAAAGGAAGGATATTTTCCCCCACCACAGCCATTCTAAATCTCCATTCAATTCAATTCAAAGTGTTTAAATAGGGGCAGCTAGGTGGCACAGTGGATAGAGCTCTGGCCTTGGAGTCAGGAAGACCTGAGTTGAAATCTGGCCTCAGACACTTGACACTTACTAGCTGTGTGACCCTGGGCAAGTCACTTAACCGTATTGCCTAGCCACAAATAAAATAAATAAACAAACAAACAAACAAATAAATAAAAGGTGCAGACTTTAAAAAAAAGTGTTTGGATTAAATTCCTTAAAATATAGCATGCTTTTGCACAAGTGGGTAAGGATCATAGGAGGGATATCAATACAGGCTCCAAAATAATATTAATAACATTTATATAGCACTTGCTCTGTGCCAGGCACTGCACTAAACACTTTAAATTATAGCATTTGATCCTTACAACAACCCTGGGAGGTAGGTGTTATTATCCCCATTTTAGAGTTGAGGAAACTGAGGCAAACAGAAGTGAAGTGACTTGCTCAGGGTCACACAGCTACTAAGTGTCTTAAGATGTATTTAAACTAGGGTCTTCCTGACTCCAAGCCTGACGCTCTATTCATTGCACCACCTAGCTGCTCCTGATTCAATATAAATCTTGAAAAAGATTCAAAATTCCCATAATGCACAACCATAACAACCTAAGGGGCCCAATGCCACAGGGTAGTAGAGCTAAAGGCAAGATGCTGATTGATGAGGCACAGAGAGCCCCTTCATGACTATCAAACATTTGGTGAGCCCCCACCTCTGGAGGCTCTTTCTACCACCAAGCATAAGACTAGCCCCAAATATATAAAAACTCAACAGCCAAAAGGGTAATTTCCCTTTCAGACAGGCTGGGAGATGGATTAAAGAGGGTGATAGGTATGCTTTGGGCTTACCAATATCCCTTTGCCCCAGGTACCACTATCCCCTTTTCCTCCCCAGTCTGGCCACAACTGCAGTTCAAGCTCAGTGACAAGTGAGGAAAGGGGAACTGTTTGTTCTTAGTGATGTCCACCAGCCCTGGGTCACTCCCTTCCACCCAGGAAAGTGAACTGTGACTCAGGGGGCTTGGCTCCAGAACTGGAGAAAGACCACTCCAAGGCGCCGAGCTAGTCGCTACTGCTGCTTGGTAGGAGATTTGGAGCCACTCAAAATACAATTACTGGGATGGCCTCCTTCCTCATCCCACCTCATTTCAAGAAGCATCTTAGGAAACATTTATGGTATAGTCTAACTATTTGATTTTGTTTTCCCTTATGAAAAATCTCCAGAAGTTGCTCTGCTAATACTCTCCCCTCCTAAAAGCCCACAAAGCCAGAAGGCTGTATTTCATCCTACACTGTCTAGGTTGTCTTTTCACAAAGAAAAAAGATGTTATTTGTACTCTTTCCTGGCAGATCCCAAAATTATGGAATGTTAGAAGGTTCCAAAATTACTCGGGCCTAACAATTTTTTATCACAGACACTTTCAAATCAAGACTAGGAACTTTATAAATGCCTTTTTCTGTATGTGGAAAAAACCTGAAGTACAGCAGAGTGAACTGCCCAAGCCAATCAGTGGCTGAGCCAAAATAAAAGCCCAGGCCAATCCGCTGCCAAGGCAGCGCTCTGCCCACAAGGCTCCGACAGTCAGTGGTCTCCATAAGAGAGACCTACTCTTACTACTTTTTTTCAAGAGAACTACTGAAATCTTAAGACATGGTCACTGCCCAAACAATGGAATAAGACGGCTTAGAAGTACACTCCCCCCTCTGTGCCATACCACCCACCCGAGCACCACTGCAAATCACAGTGGCTACATAAGCCCACAATCCACCAAGAAAGAGAAGGAAAAAAAAAATACAGCTCTAACCACAGACTTACTTGCTAGCTGTACACATTATATAAATTAACATAGTCAAGAATGAGAGACAGACTTGTTCTATTCAGCCATCACTCCATTCCCCAGGGGCTAAACTACCTGCCCGACAGATTATCCTTCTAGCTCTCCTTCTTCTCGAGTCCACCTTTTGACCACATCATCACTCCCAGGCAACTACAAACTGTCCGAGAAGGGAAAAAAGAGAAAGAAACCTCCAGAAAAGTTCTGGTAAGAAGTTCTAATTGGGGATAAAGTTCAAACAAATTGGGTTTTTGGAATATCCCTGGGTTTTAATTATACATCTTATATTCAATTCCATTACTACCAAAAAAAAAAAAAAGCTGCCAGAGAATTTTATAGTCATGGTGATCTATGTGTAATGCAAATTCATCTCTAATTTTCTCTAAGTGATTTTCACAATCTTACCTCCCAGTCCAAATAATCACAGACATCTTCAAAGTTAGTGAGCAGAGACACTGAGCAGGTTAGCCGGGGCAGCTCCTCCCTTGTCATTGGGGGGAAACGGCTATCTTTAAGGGCACTGTTGAAAAGAAAACACATTTTAAAAGAAAAACTGAATAGAACATTTCAAAAATTGCAAATGCAGCAATCATAAAAAAAAAGGTAAGACATGATAAAAACTTTAAGATTCTGGAGCTGACACTAATCATCCTCAAATGTATTCTAAGGCCCCAGGAAAATATAAAGATTTTATAAGTCCCCATTTCCCGTACTTAATACTGCTTGCTTGCAGACTTCTCAGATAGCTAATTCTGTAGCCACTTCAATCACCCCAAAATAAATAAATAAATAAATAAATAAATAAATAAATAAATGAAAATGATCAATTACATTTTCTGTGTAGTCACTTCCTGATGAGATTTCCTTAGTACTGTAATAAACTGATAATGTAAGATTTCACATTAAATAATTCATTTTGGTGGGGGGAAGACCAGTGGAAACTTGTGGGAAGATTTTTGGATCAAGTACTAGAGGAAAATGTCATGTTGGGAGAAAAAGAGGTAGACTAAAGTTTGTTTTAGTTTTCCCTTAACTTTGATTGCTTTTGCTTGAAGAAAATCAATCTTGTCAAGTATAGATCATTCAGTGTGTGACTCAGAAGCTGTGAAGCTCCAGGAAATGGGCCACTGTCAGTGATTTTGGAAGGATCGCAGACACTCAGAATCCCAGACATCGGAAGGCACCTCAGAGGCTGGCCATCTGGTCCAACCCACGCCTGACCAAGAACGCAGTCCACACCATCCTCAAAAAGTGATTATCCAGCCTTTGTCTGAAGACCTCAAATGAGGGTGAGCCCGCTCCCTCCTCACAAAGCCCATTCCAATTTTGGCCAGCTTCAATTCTTAGGAAGTTTTTCCTTCCACAGGGAGGAAATCTGCCTCTGAGACTTCTAGGCAGCACTTCTAGTACTGCTTTCTGGAACTAAATAGGATAAACCCAAGACTTCTTCAATATGGCAGTCTTTTAAATACTTGAAAAGAATTATCGTTTTCCCCACTAAGTCTTCTCTTTTTCCAGGATAAACATCTTAAATTCCTTTAAGCAATCCATATATGGTTATGATATCAAGGCCTTCTGTTAACCTGGTTGTTGTCCAGTTCATCAATATCCTTTCTAAACTCTGGTACCCAAACTTCTAGATGTGATCTGACCTGAGGCGAGGACAGTGGGACTTGAATTTATGAAGGGCAATGAGCTGTTCTTTCCTGATTTCCTTACTTAATGACTTTGTTCTGGACACTGTGCCTTTCTTAATAAAGGCTAAGATTATGTGAGCTTTTTAGATGGCTATGTCACACTCTTGTCTCCGTCATACAGACTCCACTAAACCCCAGATCTTTTTTTCGATAAACTTCTAACCACATTTTCCCTATCTTGCATTGGTGAAGTGGATTTTTCTTTAAAGGACCAGGCATAAAAGTACAAGAGAGAAAAAAATAACCTCTGCCCTCAAGGAGCTTATATTCTAATTGGGAGAGACAACTCCTTTAGAGGAGTGATGGCTAGAGAGGATTTGGGTTTAGAAGGTTATAGGAATAGTGACTGGAACCAATGGGCAGTTGATTGGCATGCCCTTTCCTGTAGCAATGGTAGTATTGATTTGATTCTTGTATCCAGAACATAGGGTGCCAGGCAAGCTTGGAAGATGGCTGTATGAGATATGAAAGTCCAACAGGGTCTAGGACCAATGAATAGATAAAGAAGGCTAAGTGTATTAGTTTGTTCTCACTCAGGCACCGATCAAAACGGCTGAGCCCTAGGGTGGGAGTTCCAAAGATGGGTAAATTAATCTCCCCAGGGACTGGAGGCATAGGTTCTGGGGGTCCAGTTCCAGTGAGGTGGGTACTGGTCTAGGTGGGGAGAAGTTGGGCAGTAGTGACAGGTGGAATAACTATAATAATTAGCTAATAGTTAGTTAAAAGTTAATCATTAATACTTAACTTTCAAATAATTTAAATAATTTTTCATCTTATTAGATTTCAGTTCAACGTCTCAGCCTGGACAATTTTGCTGGATTCTGATTCTGTCATCCAACATCTTAGCTGAAAATCTGATAAGCACACCATCTGTGCCTTCATCTAAGTTGTGGATAAAGATATAGTGCCAAATAAAGTAAGCAGGACCAGCAGAACAATATGCACAGACACTACAACAATACTAAGGGAAAGAAGGACAATAAAAAAATCAATTGAAACTGAATGCTGTGAAATTGTAATGACCAAGCCTGTCTCCAAAGAGGAAATATGAGAATGCACTGCCTGTCTCTCCTCCACCTTCTTTGCAGAGGTGGGGGGGCTTTAGGCATGGAACACTGCACATGACATCTGATTTTTGCTATGGGTTGGTTAGTTTTGCTGAGTAGTTATCTAGGAGGGGTAGGGAGGATGGATGAAAGATGGATGGGTTCTTCGGGTACTTGGCACACAGTGTGTAGAGACCACTTTCTAAACTGAAGCCAATCCAGCCATGACTGTCCTTTGCCTCCAGTCATTCCAGAAATTCAGAATGCAGCTCACTGCACTGCCTTGTACCCGGCGTTGCTCTATCAAATGAGACCATATCTATAAAGTGTTTAGCACAGCGCTGGTGCAAAGGGGGCTTGTTCCCTTCTCTTATTCCCCTACCAGGTCCACAAGAAAAAACAAGGACACTGGCAAATGCTTTGCTGAAACCTAGAGAAACCAATCTATAGCACTCCACTGATTTACTTACTGGTCTGCCCCGTCAAAAAAGAAAAGAAGGCGACTCTGGCATTCTCTGTGCTTCCCTAGCCATCTAGCATTAATGTTATGTTCTGGAATTTTGCCAGAAATTGAGACTCCACTCTCTTGGCTTTTCAAAAAACTGGAAATCTGAAACAGAGGGCATGATTTTTATCTGTTCGTAGTAACAATGTATCATAAGCTAGATTACAGACCTTTCCGACTGGACATCCTGCAGGCAATTCAAATTCAAATGCAACAGGTCCCAAACTGAACTCATCATCTTCCCACCTCCACCCCTTTTCAGATCTGGTACCACTCTCTTCTAAATCATCCAGGTTCACAACTTTCGTGTCATCTCAACTCTCACTGCTCCACATAACTAATTAGTTGACAAGTCTTATAATTTCTAGATCCACATCACCTCTCACAAGACAGTAACATCTCATTGGTCTCCACTCACAAGCTGCCATCCTGATCTCACAGCTGCCAAAGCAATTTTCCTAAAGCACGAATCTGATCACAGCCCACGTGCCTGCTCAACAAATTCTAATGGCTTGGGCTCAAATATTGACTCCTTCTGTTTAACATTTTAATTTCTTTATGTCCTGGCTTCCTTCTAGTTCGATATGCTCTGCATATCTAACACTCTATCTGCCATCTCTGTGCTTGTGCACTGGGTATCTTTCACGCCTGGCCTGAGCTTCCTCCTCACCTCCACCTCTTCTCCCCTCCACTAGACAATGGGGTTAAGTGACTTGCCCAGGGTCACACAGAGTAAGTGTCAAGTGACTGAGGCCGGATTTGAACTCAGGTCCTCCTGACTCCAGGGCCGGTGCTCTATCCACTGTGCCACCTAGCTGCCCCTTCACCTCTTCTTTCAAGACAGTTCAGATACCACCAAAAAATTTTATACAGATTTTCCAGATTGAAGGGGTGCCATGCACCTAACCCCCGTGATGTGGAAGGGATAATTGTACTTTGTGGGTTAGTTGCAATGTGCTGGGTGGTAAATCAGTAGATGTGAATGGATCTGCTAAACAGCTATCCTCCTTATAGTACAAATAAATCACATTATACTGGATTTTCACTATACTTTGGCAAAGATAGTAATGTTAAAAGAAAATGTTCTGACAAATATAGAAACGTCAAGGTCAAACAAACAAACAAAAACCAAACCCAAACAAACTCAACTGGACAATCCTTGCCCTTCTCTCGACCTGTGTTACCACTCTTATTCTACAAGATTGTTCAAAGAGAAGAGATGGTGGTTTGGCCATCTCACCCACCAGTTCTTTCAATACACAAGGGTTAAGTTTGGTATGGGCCTTGACCTCATTAAGTGCAACTAATTGTTCTTCCTTATTTTTCCTGGATCTCAGTTTCCTGTTAGCCTTTTTTTTCTTTAATCTTTTCCAGTCCAAAGATCGTTGTCCCTTGGCAGAGAAAACAAGCAAAAGAGAGTTGAATAGTGGTGTTTTCATTCCCTTACCTTGTTTTAGCAGTCATCCTCTCCTTTCTTGGATCCTCCTCTTTTCCTCAAGATAGCTTTAAAAGCCCTGTCTTTGGCTGTTCTCTGAATTCTGTGCTTTAGCACTCCTGACCCTATTCAAGCTGGCCCAGCTGCAGGATTGTATTCATCCTCCCTTCCTATCAGTGCTTCCATTTTCTATACTTTTATAATCTTTTACAATTTGAAGCTGGTTGATGAGTTTTCTATAGATTCACATCTATCTTTAAACAATTCCTTTTTCTCCTCACTAGAATTGTTTCTGTCTCTTCAGAACTTCATTTTTGAGAACTGTTCACTCTGTCCTAAAGTAATTTCTTTTGTAGAATTTGAAGCCATGGGATCTTATATATGCTTTTCTTTGAACTTTGAATTTTATACTTCCCAAATGTAGGATGCATGTCAGATTATGTTTGGCTTTCCTTGTCATGAATTCTAGGATGGAGAGATCATTCTCACTCTTCTCACCCCCCAGGCTCCCACTGTTTTGTTTTTCTTCGAGAAACCAGTCGTTTTTGTGAATCAGAATCAGTTCCATAATAACAGTGTCACTTCCTATACCCTTTAAAGGATGAACTTCATAGTATAATAGAATTATAGTTAGAAGAGTCCTTAGTAGTCATCTAATCCAATCAAGTTCCATAGATGGAGAAAATGAGGTTCAAAGAAGTTTTGAGTCCTGACAAAGGTCACACAGATTTTAACTGGGATCTGAACACAGGCCTTTGACACCAAAGTCCCTAAAGCACTCTACTTCTAATTTAGCATTAAGGAAGGTAAGCCAAAAGTGCACTAGTTCTGCTTTTG